TTTTTTTTTTTTTGGTTTTTCGAGACAGGGTTTCTCTGTGGCTTTGGAGCCTGTCCTAGAACTAGCTCGGTAGACCAGGCTGGTCTTGAACTCACAGAGATCCGCCTGGCTCTGCCTCCCGAGTGCTGGGATTAAAGGCGTGCGCCACCGTCGCCCGGCCCTCTGTGAGTTTGAGGCTAGCCTGGGCTACAGAGTTAGTTCTAGGACAGCCAAAGCTATGTAGAGAAGAAAAGCTGTTTCAAAAAACAAAACAAACCAACAGCAACCACAACAAAAACCATCTTGACTATGTTATGGTTTAAAAGAGCAACGTCTCCTACGAGCTCCTGCATATCAACACTTTATCCCCAGCTACTGACAATTTGAGATTACAAAACCTTTTAGACAGAGAGGCTACATGGCAAAGATGGGTCGACAGGGGTGGGGTTGGAGGGTTACAAGCGAGCACAATTTCCTACTTGTGCTCTCCCGAGTCCTGACTGCTGCCCAGCCACAATAAGCTATGCCAACGGCTTTCATCATGCTCCCCTGCCACCGAAGACTGACTGCTTCTCAAAGTATAAGCCACAACTTTAATCCCAGCACTCAGGAGGCAGAGGCAGGAGGATCTCTGTGAGTTCAGGGCCAGCCTGGTCTACAGAGTGAGTTTCAAGGCAGGCATCGAGGCTAGAGAAACCCTGTCTTGGAAAAAAAATCAAAAACCAAACAAACAAAAAAGAAACTATAAAGCACAACAGTTCTCCTTTGAGCTCTTCCTGCCAGGTATTCCACGGAAGCAGAAAGAAGAGCAACGGACACACTGTTGCATGGCCAAAGCTCCACATAATGACTAACTATAGAAACCTTCCAGAAGACAGAACTCAAGACAAAAAGCTTGGAGCCTCCAAAGAAGGGCACACTACCAAACACCAGACCAGAGCCTCCTCCCAAACCGCCAACATCATAAAAAACAGGTTAGTCTGAGAAACTGTCCGGCCAAGAGAACTGAGGAGATTAAATGTGTTGGGGTATCAGGGACAAGATTCTGGGACAGTAGGGAATAACAAAACCTTCGATTTAAGGATTGTGTCGAATGTACTATAGTGAGATGGGAACAGGGCTTGAGAGGTTCTATTTGTCTGAATTTTCCATAAACCTGAAACTTTTCTTACTCGGTGAAGGGATGCAGGCTTTTAATTCTAACACTTGGGAGGGAGAAGAAGGGAGGTCTCTAAGAGTTCGAGGCCAGCCTGGTCTAAGAGTGAGTTCCAGCCAAAATTGGTGAGACTGGTCTCACCAAACCAACACCACCACCCACAAAAAAGTTCTAAAAGTTAAGTATAGGGGGCTGGGGAGATGGCTCAGAGGTTAAGAGCATTGCCTGCTCTTCCAAAGGTCCTGAGTTCAATTCCCAGCAACCACATGGGGGCTCACAACCATCTGTAATGAGGTCTGGTGCCCTCTGCTGGCCTGCAGGCATACACACAGACAGAATACTGTATGAATAATAAATAAATAAATAAATACTAAAATAAATAAAAATAAAAGTTANCTGTATGAATAATAAATAAATAAATAAATACTAAAATAAATAAAAATAAAAGTTAAGTATATTAATTTAAAATGTTTTGTTTTTTAAAGACATGACTGTAATTCTGGCTGGCATTGAACTCAGATCTGCCTGCTTTTGTATTCTTTTCATTTGGTTGGCTGGTTGGTTTGAGACAGGGTTTCTCTGTGTAGCCCTGGCTATCCTGGAATTCAATCTGTAGACCAGGCTGGCCTCAAACTCAGAGATCCGCCTGCCTCTGCCTCCCAAGTGCTGGAATTAAAGCGTGCACCAACATTGCCTGGTTCTTCATTTTTTTCATTGAATATAATTTTAAAGTTTTCCTAGGTGCTCTTGTATCCTAGACCTCAAACACATACCAAAGAAAGCCAAGTTCCCGTCCGTTTGGCACTTGATTGGCCACCAGGGGGCACAATGGGCCTTGTCTTGTTGAGAAACATTTTCTTTTGTAAAGGCAAGAAAGTCAGGGGAGGCATAACCTAATGGGAGTTTTCTGTCTCATTAAAAAAAAGAAAGACAGAAAAAAAGTTGTGTGGAAAGGATGATGTCACAGGATTCCTTAGGCTCTGACTGAATTTATACATTCCCAGGGACTGTTAAGCACACAGAATCAAGACTGTGCGCCCACACTGCCCCAGCCCCTAGCAATTATACCATATAAGCCTATGGCTCTGGCAAACCCAGGGCAGGCTTCCTGCAAAAAGATGGAGCTACCACGAGGCTCATGCTCCTGGAAACTGCCCCACATGTGACCTACCAAAGGAACCACAGGCTGGCTAGGCCTTGCCCTTTTCCCCTCCACGCCAGCTTCCCTCAAAGAATTTAACCCAGGAGATTTGGGCTCCATTGCTCCCCAGGGCACGGTGCTAATCACCGAAGCCCCCTCTAAGCAGTGACTAAAACGCCACTAACAAGGCCGTAACTGGCACCAGCAAAGAGCACCGACTGAGGGGTTGAGGGAGAGTCTACAAGGCCAGAGCTACTTGCTCAAGGGAATCCCAGGTACCAGTCTATCTGGGT